GGGGGAAGAGCGTGGGTCACCAGCTTCTCTACCGTTCAGTGTGGGGAGCAGTCACCTGGGACCCAGCACCCTCGACTGAACCCTGGCTCCCGGGCCGCTCAAGCCCAGACCTGCTGCTCACAGTAGGTGCTCAGCTCCGTTTGCTGGCTGGGTGAAGGATGCATGGATGGATGGTCTGGTCAGACCCAGCGCCCCTGCCTCCTGGTCCAGGAGCTCATGTTGAGCAAATTCCAGAAGGTACCTGGGGTAGGGATTTCCCTTTGCCCAGGGGCCTGGTTGAAAATGGACTCTTCCCAAACTCCCACTGCATTTCTTAAACTCAATTTTTGTTTATTATTAAAACATCGCATCCAAGGAAATGTTTTCAAAAGTGGACATTTCCCCCAAAACCCACCATCATAACCCAGCACTCGGTATTCAGAAAGTCAGGTTCTGGGGGCCCCTTCCCTGGAGAGACTGAACCCCAGGCGCCAAGGTAGGGCCCGACTCGGGATTAATGGCTCGAAAGGGCTTTTCAGTGTAACTGTCCCTTTGCTCACCAGGCCACTCCTTTGGATGACAGGCGTGTGTCGGAGCCTCGCCAGCCGAGCAGGCAGTGCAGACAGTGTCCTACGGCAATGTAGCCTTGACGAGTTCTTCTTGTCCTCAAACTAAACATGAACCCTCTCAACCCCCAAACTCACTTTCTGCCCAGAACTGAAAATTCCAGCCATTTAATAACTCCTTGGGTTTCAAAGACTGTGCTCCTAGAAGGGCCCTGGCAATGGACACGTGATGTTACCTGGGGCCCCATAACCATTGCAGACATGGTGCTCTTACCCATCACCCATGGTAGCACCGTCCTTCTGCACCCCTGGAGTTAGGTGAGGCCATACGCTTCCACCAAAGGGATGAGTTGGGCGTGGAAGCTTTGAGAGCCAGGGCCCCGTTTCCCAGCTCTCCCTAGGGACACAGGGCATGCAGGCCATGGTGGATGTGGGCTCTTGGGGCTGTTTGTCACTGAAGCACAGCCTAGCCCATGCAGACTGATGCGGCAACCTCGAATGTAGCCTCTGGCCACCAAAGGCTGCGTCAGTTTAGCTAGGATGGGGAGCTAGAGAAGGGGCAGGGATCCAAATTTGCCACCTTCCTGCACAAGACAGGTCTGGTCAAGGCCTTCCCATAGATATTCAGGGAGAACTGGTCACCCACAGGCCTCAGAGGTCCCTCGAATCTCAACATTTTGCAGATAACCAAGTAGGAGCAGCTACACAGCCCAGCCTCAGGCAGGGAAGCAGGGCCCAGGGCTGCAGGACTAGTCGTCTCCCCCACCCCAGCCAAGGCCCCTCTCAGGCCTGACCACCCTCCCAGCTCTTGACTTGTGGGGTGGGGATGGGGCCCCAGAGCCAGCGCAGGAGGGGCTGGGGGCGGAGACCCTCCCACCTCCCACCCCAGACAGGCCCCCAGCCAGGGCCAGGTGGCCCCTTTTGTTAAGAAATTTAGTCAACTTTGCTGGGGTTTGTCAGACGCAGAGAGTGCCTCAAGCAACATTTTGCCTCCACCCTTCACCTCTGCCCCCAACGTCTGAGTACAAAGAGCAGTGGGGACGGAGGGGGGAATCCAGGCCTCCCCTCTGCGCCCCTCAGTTATTCGGGTTGCACTCACCTTCCCCAGCACTGCGCCATGGTGGCTGGCCCATTCCTGCCCCTGCCCCGGCCCTCCAGATGCAGCAGGCGGCGCCCTGCTGGGTCAGCGCTCCCCAACAGAAGGTTTGCGTGGCCAGCGCGTTAGAGCTTTCTGGCGTGAGCCGGAGGGGGGCCACCCAGCCTGGGGTCCAACCCTCCACTCCGAGCCCAGGCCTGGAGTCAGTCCGGTGCTCACGGAGGTGACTGCGCTGGGGAGCCCCCCCCCAAGGCCTCCTCTCTCTCTCTGAGCCCAGCCTGCTGCTGCTGACCCTGCTGCGTCAGGACCTCACACTCAGGGCCACTCGGCCCCTCTGCCCTGGGGTGGGGGGTCCCTAGCCCTCCCTTTTCCCAGAGGGCTCCCCCTCCCCCTCCACAAAGCCGGCCCAGACCTCCCCCCTTTCTCACCTGTTTACCCCGAGGGCAAAGAAAACTGCCCTTGGTCGCCCCTGCCCGCTGCTCTAATCTTAGCTCCCAGCCCCACCTTTAATTTTTCGCTCCTACAGCCCCTGACAACTAGACGACCCCCACATCTCTTGCCAGGTTGCCCTCACCTGCCAGGTCTGATCCTGCAGAAAGCCATCCCTGTCCCTCTCCCCTCCCCCCCAGGGGTCAGTGCTCACCCCTGACCAGTTTTGGTGTCACCGGCCTCTGACCAGGACACCCTCTTGGTGGGCCACAGTGCTCTGTGCCCAGACCACCTGGTTGATGACCACGACGGGTTCAGGGGAACACCCCCCCCACTCCAGAGTGAGACTTTCTCAGGGAACGGCAGTTCTTGGCACATAACCGAGGCTCAAAGATTGTTTGTGGAGTGAACAGTCAACATTGAGGCCGTAAGATGTACAGCCCCAAACTGTGGGGAGATGAGATGTGTACACACAAAACAGTGGCTCCGTTGTTTGCCTGGGGCTGGGGCCAGCTCTGAGATCAAAGGAGAGAGAGCCCTGTTCAGCAGGAGTGACCCCAGGGGCCTTCCTGCAAGCACCTCGGGAGCCCACATGCAATGAAAAAAAATATTCTTGTGTGAGAGTTAAAAAAAAAACAGTGGAAAAAGAAAACTGGCACAGATATTAGTGCCTTTCTCGGACTCTAGGGGGCGACAGAGCAAACCTGGTGGGTTTGAGCACAAAGTCCCTGCGGCTCTAAACTCCCTCAGGCAGTGTTACTTCAACAAGGTGACGTTGAACGTAAAAAGGGCGTACAACTCAGGGTTAAATCGCACTGACGGGGCTGCAGGTGCTACACATTTAAGAAAAATGGTGGGGGAAAAAACTCTAAAATTGAAAAAAAAATTTGGGGGGAGGGTGTAAAAATTGGGAAATTAACATTTTTGCATTGGAGCACCTTAATCCAGCTTGAGAAACATGCATAATTGGGAACAACCAATTTAGTTCAAATGCTCTTTTATTTTGTCGAAGGAAAACAAAGGTGAACCCAGAAATGCGACTGTGGACCCCGTGGCAGGGCAAGGGTGAGAACATGGCCCCGTCCTCCCCAGCAGTCAGCCCAAGATCTCTTCTTATTTATTCCAGGGGTTGCATCTTTGGAGGGGGTCACATAATCGAGGCGGAGTGCCCCCCATCCAGCAGCACTGGCATCAGCTTGCACTTGTCAGAAATGCAAATTCTAGGATCTGTGTGGCCCAGACAGGCTGAGCCTGACTCTGCACTAAGTGGCCCCCTCCGGGTTGGAGGGCCGCTCCCACGTGCATACAAGTGTGCACACGTGTCTGCATTCACATGTGTGCAAATCACCTGGGGGTCATGGTCAGCTCGCAGAAAGTGGATCTTACCCTTGGTCTCACATAAACCCGCCAGCCCAGCCGGGCCTGGCTCACCTAGGATCCAGGCGATTGGGGTTTGATTCCCGGTCAGGGCACATGCCCGGGCTGTGGGCTCAACCCCCAGTTGGGGGCGTGCAGGAGGCAGCCGATCAATAACTCTCTCATCATTGACATTTCTCTCTTTTCCTCTCTCTGAAATCAATAAAGATATATTAAAAAATAAACCCACAACTCGCTAGGTGGCCCTTGGCAGTTGCCATAGACTGAATGTTTGTGCGCCCGAAGTTCGTATTGTTGAAATCCCCTCCTCCAATGTAGTATCACGAGGTGGTGGGACCTTTGGGGGTGGCTTAGGTCATCAGGATGGAGCCCTGATGAACGAAATTAGTGCCCTCATAAAGGACCCCCCGAGATTTCCCTCGGCCTCTCCGCGATGTGAGGACCGTGTCTATGACGCAGGAAGCAGGACCTCACCAGACACTGAATCTGCGCCGCCTTGACCTTGGACTTCCAGCCTCGGACTGTGAGAAATAACTTTCTCTTGTAAGCTGCCCAGCCCGTGGTCCTGAGACAGCGGGTCACAACTTCTCTGAGCGCTGGGCTCCTCTCCTGTAAACGCGAGAGTGCTGGCCACAGGTCACTTAGGATGACCAGCGCCTTCCGGCTTGTCAGGCACTGTCCCGGTTTTAAGAGTGAAAGTCCCACACTGCAGGACCTCCTTGCATGTGCTTCCTGTCACCACCATCTACGTTTCGGGGAGGCCCGAGTCCGAAGCCCAGGTGCTGGCAGGCTCCGCTGGCTCCTTTGGGGGCTCGCAGGGAGGATCTGCCCTGTGCCTCTCCTGGCTTCTGGGGTTGCTGTCAGTCCTTGGTGTTCCTGGGCGCGTAGTGGGGTCACTCCAATCTCTGCCTCCAGCGCCACATGGCCTCCCTGGGTGCAGCAGTCTCTCTGAGTCCCAGTTTCCTCTTCTTGAGAGGGCAGGTCACTGGATGGGGGCTCATCTGACCCCAGTATGACCTCATCTTAACTCAATCACATCTGCAGAGACCCCGTTTCCAAATGAGGCCACTTCGCAGGCACTGGGGACTAAGGCTTCCACACAGCATTTTGGAAAACACAGTTCAACCTGGAAGGGCCGCTCAGTCCCAGGCAAGCGGGGCGGTGCCACCCTCCCACAGTTGTCGCGGGCCCTGCAGCGCCCCTCATTCTTTCAGTGCCGGAGTCTGGTTCTCAGATGTGGTCCCCGAACCACAGGGGGTCAGGAGCTGACTCAGCGGTGCCCCCCCATCCCAGTTCACACAAGGCTCTGGTTATGGGCACAGAAAAGGTGGCCGTGGGAGTGATGACCGCGGTGGGGTGATGACCCCGCACGTCAGGGCGGGGAGAGGGGCCCGTCCAGCCTCTCGCTCCCGCGGCGGGCGCCAGGCGGGCCGCTTACGCCTTTTAGGGTAAAGTTCAGGACACATCACCCACAGCCGAGACACACATCGAAGTCAGAGTGGGTAACGGTGGGGTCAGCAGGGGGTAACAATGATAAAGTGACACCCGGGAAGCCTTGGCTGGCACGGCGGCTCCGTGGAGCGCCCAGCCTGCGGGTTGTTTTGTTTTGGTCGGTAATAAATCAAGGGGGGGGCTCCCCCCCTTTCCTTGGGCAGCAGGAAAAACTGGGTGAAAGGTCTCAATTGCTGAGGCCATAAAGTTTCCAGAATCCTCTGCCATTTCTTGAGAAACTTCACACCTTAAAAGTAGAAGCTGCCCGGCTGGCATGGCTAAGTGGTTAAGCATCGACCCATGAACCAGATCGGGGTTCGATTCCCGATCGGGGCACAGGCCCGGGTTGCAGGCTCCATCCCTGGGGGGGGGCCTGCAGGAGGCAGCCGATCCATGACTCTCTCTCCCCTTCTCCCTTCCTCTCTCTGAAATCAATAAAAATATATTTAAAAAAATTAAAAAACATAAAAAAAAAAGCAGCAGCCAAGGCTGTTTCCTATGTTGTGATAGAGTGGAAGCTGGAGGGACCGTCAGAGTCGGGTGACGTCCTCAGATGAAGGACTGCGGTCCCTGCTTGGAGTCTGGGGGAACAGGCCGTCTGTCCCCGGGCCTGGGCGCACTCCCCTGCTCTGCAGCGGGGCTTGATGAGCAGGTGTGGACTGAGCTCCGGGGGCCCGGCCGTGACCTTCGGAGCATCTGGTGTGTGACTGTGGCAGACCTGCATTTTTTACTATCACGGCAGATCATCATGACAGAATGAAATATTTTTTTCAGGTTTGGTAAACTTGCTCGGAGGGGTAATTCTTGAATATGTTTTTCTTGAATTTTAGAGAAAGAGTAAAGGAGAGGGGTAGAGAAATAGAAACATCCATTAGAGAAACATCACTGACTGGCTGCCCCCTGCCCGCCCCCCTACTGGGGACCGAGCCTGCAACCCGGGCGTGTGCCCTGACCCGGAATCAAGCTGTGACTTCTCAGTTCCTAGGTCGATGCTCAACCGCTGAGCCGTGGCAGCCAGGCCGGAGAAGGAATTCTTGCGTCTCCATCTCGCCCCTTGGAGGTGTGGCCCAGGAATAACACGGTGGCACCGCGGGATTCCAGCGGCAGCTGGGGACACACTGCGGGAGGTTCACTCCGGGAGCTCCAGGAAGCGGCAGAGACCCTGCACTTTACAGGGCTCTGGGGACGGGCAAGGCTGTCATACTTGTGGCTGTTACAACCACCCCTGGCACAGGGATCTCAGGCACGGAGGCCAGACCCGAGTCCAAGGGAGTTGCCCCAAGACACGCATTAGCTGCAGAGCTGGGGCCACAGCGGCTACGTTCTGGGTCTTTTTTTTTGGTGTTTTCCCCAAGGATAGTGTTTCTACTGATCTTTAGAGAGAGTGGAAGGGAGGGAGGGAAGGAAACATCGATGTGAGGGAGACACATCGATTGGTTGCCTTCAGCATGTGCCCCAACCGGGACCAGGGATTGAACCTGCAACCCAGGTACGTGCCCTTGACCAGGAATCAAACATGTGACCCTCCAGTGCCTGTGTCAATGCTCCAACCACTGAGCCACACTGGCCAGGGCTTATGTTCTGAGTCTTAATCCGAGGCTCCATTTATTCGGGGTTCCCTGTGGATACCAGGGTGTCAGGCTCATGGGTTGTGTTCGCACATGGTGTAAACAACAGGCTAAGAGTTGGTAGATCTCTCTGGCCTCAGGTCCTTCCCCTGAGAACAGGGACATGACGTCCACTCTCAGCTTCTTCCCAGTTCCAACTCTGGAGCAGATGTCCCCTGGTCACCCTAGGATGGGTCACAGAAACTTTGCTCAATGTAAACTTTTTTTGCTTAATGTAGAATTTCCTTTCCTGGGGGAGGTGAAGGAGCGAGAGTGGGGCTGGAACTTTCAGAGCAACGCCTGGGAAGGCGCCGTGGTTTCCTGCTGGTCCGGCCTGGTGGCAGCCTCAGCTGGGGTCACCACGGCAGCCACGGCCTCTGCAAGCTCCCACGGCTCCTGGAAGCTGCGGGCAGTCCCGATGGGGGCAGGGAGCAAGGTGGCCGCCTGCACTCTTCAGGCATTTTCATGGGAGCCCAGCCCCGTCCAAGAATTGTTAAGCCTGTTTCCATTTAGACGACAATATGGGGGGTGGCGGCACATTCTGGTAACTGAGCATTGTTGCTGAGTCCCAGGCAGTTGGCAGTGGTAAGGGCAGGGGGCACCCAGTATCGCCTTCCTTGTTGAGCCCAGGACGGGTGCTCAAGAGTAAGTACACTTATTTCTAACCCTAATCCAACAGTCTCCACCTTTTAAACTACTGGAGCTTTGGGGACGGTGACAGGCAGGTCTATGTTCTAAATCAGATCCTGTCTGCCACGGGATGCCAAGTACAGCACAGGAATACAGTCTATGACCACGTACGGTGTCAGATGGGTACAAGATTTATCGGGATGATCGCTCAGTAAGCAGTGTAATGGGCAGTCATCATGGTGTACACCTCAAACGTAATAACGTACGTCACCTGTAATTGAAAAATAAAAGTGATTTAAACAGAAATCAGATCCTGTCTGCCATGGACATCAAGCCAAGCACAAAGAGGGACAGTAGGTGTCTCAACATCTCTTTCCTCCAAGCGCTGAGCAGACAAGCAGGAGGGCGATGGGGAGGTTCTCCTGGTAACCCGCACCCCGTCTGCATGAAGCAGTCCAGGCGAAGCGGGGCTCTGAGGATGGAGAGAACAGTCATTATTGGGAGTGACTCCCTCACCCCCCCAAGGCCACTCAGCTTTAGTGAGCAGAGATGCCCCCCAATTCTGGCCCTCTACCCCCCACTGCCACTGCCACCTTGGTGGGCCCCGGAGGTGGTCCAGGGGCCCTGCTTGCCTCTGCCTGGGGCCACACCCTCCACCAGCTCCCGGGGCCCAACCCGAGCCTTCCTGAGGGCCGGGGAGCACCCTCGGCAGACAAGGTTTCCTTCTCTAAAAGCCACGGAGTAGCGAGCGCGAGGGGTTAAGGTTTGCAACTATTTTATTTACAAGTATACATTTAACACAATGAAATAAACACTGATATATGGAAGCCTAGTTAATAGTGTAACAATATGCATCTTTTGATGATTACATTATTTTAAACAACAGACTACACTTAAAAATTAATGCCGATAAAATTCTTGGTCATAATATTATTAAGAAATACAATATATAAATTGAAAATATGATTGCTTAAAATTGAAAGTGGAAGTGAACTCAGGTAGGCAGAGTCAGAGTTCAACATAATCTGAAAGGGTGCGGGCGGGAAAAAGCTCTGACCCAAATGAAATCGTTCAGGTTAACAGAAGAGAAACGAAGCAGTTTATCTTCAAGGGTGACGGGTAGTCTGTGTCCTCAGGCAGACGGGCCCCAGTGTCCTTGGGTCCTGCAGGGAATCACATCACCGAGCAGGATGACTTTCCTTGTGAAGAGGCCCCATCAATTTTTTCTGCCTCCAAAATTATCCTCCTGAAAACATCCACAGCAGTCTGAAAAAGAAAGGAACCCGTGACTGTGTTGGCTTCACGGTGGAAGCCTGAGAACCATGCTCACCACTGGCTGCGGGACTGAAGAGAGCAGCCGCCTGCCCCGCAGGTGCAGGTGCAGAGGCCAAAGTCAACCCAGAGCCACGGAGACTGGCCTTCCTCCCTCC